CAAAAAAAATTTATAAATGTTTGTTCGTCTTTTTAGCATAATAGAAATAGTGTGATCGTTTGCGGTTGCGAGCTCGGAAAGACTCTTTATTAAAAACACGTCTGATTTTGTAGCGGTGAAACCTGATGGCGCTTAAATGACCAATTGTGTCGATAGTGCCGTAAAACATCTACCCAATCAATCAATCAATCTCCCGATCTTGAGTTATATAGATGTTGACAATGAGGAAATAGAGGTGTATTTACGCTCTCATCGGTACAATTCGGGTCAAATTGGAGGCAAGCTTCAACCATGCCTGTTAGAGCCAACCCAGATTGAGAGGGGCACTGCATCCAGCAGAAAGTCTGGGATACTCGATAAAAATTCTTCCCACGAAGGAATCGAACGCGGGTCTCATGTGCAACAGAGAGTGGGCTAACCGCTACACCACAGACGCCAACGATAGTAAGGAAGAGACTACAAGAACTGAAGGTTGCGGTGAGACGGTTTGCTTGACTCGAGTTACTTGAGGCCATGTGTTTTACGATAGAGCTCGTGGTTCCCTAAGTTGTTTGACTCTCCTAATCCCCAGATCGATAATACGGTATCCCATTTTTTCCAGATAAGTGCAAAAATTTTAAGGTCGAATAGGTACGCATGTGTCAACCAAACGAACATCAATATCTATCTACATCGTTGTCCTCAGTGATCTTTTTTTATTACCGTCGTTGTAACTACCATAAGAAATAAAAAAGAATTGTTTAAGACTTGAGATTTTCAGTTTTATTACATTAGAAAATTACATACGTCCAACATTTCGTCCTTATGGGCTTCGCCAGGAATGTGACGAAGTAAACAAAAACAACACTATGGAAACGAAGTATTCATTAACTTTCAGCATGATGCATCACCGTTTTCATCACCGAATTCGGTATAATTGTGCGAAAATCGCACCTAGGCAGTGTGCATTCGGTATAACCATTATACCAAGAAATTCTGCGACAGTTTTGCGCTGTTGAAATCCGTGCAAAATAAAAGTCCCTGACAATAATGTTCACTGTTATTGTTGCAGGCGGAATTCCCTCTGAGTTATTTGAAAGTAAGGAACTGACAGATTTACTTTACCCCCGACTTCTGGCAGACTTCGACGTGCTGGATCAGCTGGAGTGAGTCAACAGAAAACACTTGTCTGTCTTGCTACTACTGATGTCTTGTTATTCCAGTAATGGGGGAAATGATAATTCTAGAAACAAAGCATTCAACCGAAAGTGTCAGAAACACGCTTGTACCCTCACGTTGGCAGTTTTCCAAAAGAGCAAGTAAAGAAAGCGTGAGCTTAAAAGTGTGTTCTTCATTTTGATTCAAATATAACCGTACTCATGAGGGGATTTCATGCTCTTTCGATAGCTTAGTATTGAAATTGCTTACAATTTCAATACATGTAGTAGGTTGACCTTTGTTCATGAACTGTAATAGTCTGTAATTGATAGTGTTCGTAGAAAAGGGGATGAGGGCAAGGGCTTTATGTACCAGTTATATCGTTCTGGGTTATTTGTATTTAAAACTGCACACTGTAAAAGTAAAAAGAGAGTAAAATAATCACAAATGGAGCAGCAGTAGAAATAAAGGTTTGTCTTTACCAGGTAGAAAGATTTCTTTTCATTTCAATTGTGACAGGATGCTACATGTTGTTAACTGTTATTCTGTTCTTTTGGGCAGGTTCGAGGATGACCCAAATGCTAAAGAACGGCCTATTCAATGCCCAGTTGACTTTTTTGACGGTGAAGATGATATCGACCATGATTTGACCGGTGGGTTTAACAATGGAATCTAAATACAGTTTAATCTTCTACTCTTCTAGATGTCGTCCGATGCCCTGATAGACTCAGAACTTCACCTCATAAAGATGCTTTAAAACAAGATTCAGTTGGGGCCCAAAGCAATGAACAAAGACAGCATAAGGGAAAAATGGGTGCACCTGGGTCTATATTTTGTTCGTTCTGCGCAATTTACCGATCAGCGAAGATTGCGCTGCGCGTTTTAACGATCGTATAATTGTATCATTCTTATGAGTTCTTCAGTTTTATATCTTAATTTTAATGTAAAATTAGATTTTCTTATTTTTACACTTTTGAAAAGATATTTGAATGTTCCTTGACGTGAGTAAAAGAATGAAGATGGAAGTGAATTTTTTTTAAATTATTATTTCAAAAATATAAAATATCAACGAAATCTTCAGATTGTCGCTCAATTATACGATCGTTAAAACGCGCAGTGCAATCTTAAAAATGTCGAGCAATTATACGATCGTTAAACGCACGAATGGCTGGTGCCTCTATAAATAAATCATTGATGGTCAAAGCGTTAAAACGCACAACGCAATCTTAAGATTGCGGCGATCGGTAAATTGCGCGGAACATGACAATGTGCACAGCACATTATGAATGATATACGAGTACTATGGGTATGAAGAACTATCTATCAAAATGACATTTTATGAGGTATCTTGTTGTTGTTGTTTTTAATTCTGATTTTTGCCTCTGACTTTGCCTCATTCAAATAATGTTGTGGAAGAGTTCCAGATAAATGGAGCTATTTGAGATAAGAACCTCCTAGCCAATTTTTTATCTCACTTCCTAGGTGTTTTCATAAGGCACTGAAGGTGTCCTGATCATAGATATCTTTTGATATTTGAGTGAGGTTGCTTGGATATAAGCTTAACACATGTCAAAGGACAGCAATCGTATAGGTAATTCTAGATTCTCATGTTGTTAGGAGCCAACAGAATTTTCTTAAAATGTGTGTGATATGGTCGTTCTTCCTTTTTTGCGACACGATATCCATTCTAAATCATAAATGGTCGTGTTCAATAGTGTTCACACAGATATATCGTGTTGTATGTCTTAGTGGTCAGTACATTGCTTTTTGAAATGTGTAAAACAACATTGGAATTTAAGTACATAGCCGCCAGCCATTTAAAGCGCTATTTATGTTATAATTAAATTTGTTACTAAGCTTAGTATGTTTATTATTAGTGCTATTGTTACTGTTGTCGTTGTTGTTGTTTCTGTCATTAATTTGTTTTACATCGTATTATTATTATCACCATCATTATTGATTTTATAATCATCATTGTTATCATCATCATTTTTGTTCTTTTTTTGGATACTTTCAGCATGGAGAGGGCTGTCCCGTGCGCCATTCACATTCCGGCACATACCAGGCGGCCACTTCTTTCTGAGGGAACCCGAGTCCTCGAAGCTGCTAATCAACCATATGAACCAAAGATTCATCAGCTACCAGGACTTTGTGTAAAACGCCCGCTTATCCAGGACTGTCAGATTTTTCAGACTAAATTAATTATGACCTCTCAACTCTACTATAGTAGACCTAGTGTTTCTAAGGAAAATGTGGCAAGCTAAGAAAGTTTCAGAAAGGAGCTTTTGTTTATATGTTAGGCCTACACGTAAATATTTCACCTCGCGTTTCTTTCACATGCAATGGTTTGACTCGCACTGCATAACTTATTCGAAGGGGAAACACATTAATGTCCTGAAAATATGATATCCAGCGTACTAATAAAATGTTTGTATAGTTATAGTGCAAGATTTATCAGTTTAGTGTGGTAGATTTAAGTGTTTAGAGCCTCTTCAGAAGTCAGGGATGTGATTATAATGTCAAACATCACTTCTGCACAAAACCAACTAGTCTACTCCAAGCCACATCACTCAAAATCGAGCCATTCAGCTTGGTTTGAAAGTCATGAACAAAAGGGTTTCAGATTAGTGATCTGCAAAAAAAATGTAATTCCCTCGAAAGTTGAGGGAAAAATTAAAGTGTTTTTTTTTAAGAATTTGTTTTTGGGTTTTTTAATGTGCTATAAGGTCTTCCTGCAACATTGCTATTATCAGTGACTAGAGAACATAACTAAATATGTATAAGGATGAATAGATTTTTTACCCTGGGGCCCACACAGGAGAAGCGGCGTGATCAGAAAGTGAAGATAATAATATTATTATTATGGAACTCAGCAGCAGCATCTTATCTTTAAAGTGGATCTTACTAACGCTGAGTGCTATGTCTAGTGCGACAGTAAATCCTTCGTTACTATTGCATTGACGGGTATTTTATTCTTTTTTTTTTCAGTGGTATCATATTATTTTCTCTTTGTTAAAAAGGAATTGAGCAAACATAAACGTAGATCTATGTTATTGCTAAAGTACACTGTGTCTATTATTCGACCACATTTTTTAGTTTAAATAAATCTGGGGTGTTTTTTTTCCTTTTGTTTGTTTTTTGTTATCATTGGTAAGTGTCACTATTCTATTTTTTTTTAAAGGGGAGGGGGGTATGGACCCTTGAAGAATGGAGGTGGGGGTGTTTTTATGCATATTTTTATGGGGTGGGGTTCGTTAAGTGTTAGACTATGCAGTAGAACTCGTATATAAGGATAAATCTTGGTCTGCTACAATTGTCTCGCTATTCCTGATGCCTTGTTATTCCAGTAAAGGGGATTATACTCTTGAAACAGAACAGACGTCCGAAAGTGCCAGAAACACTCTTGTCCCATCACCTTGACAGTCATATATTACATAGGCTTAGTCCACTCCCATGAAAGATCCCAAATGAACCGTAACAATGATGATGATGATGATGATGATGATGATGATGATGATGATGATGATGATGATGATGATGATGATGATGATTT